GTCAACAAAATTTTATGAATGGACGCTTACGGACGCTAAAGGCTGATATGGCTCGTGAAGTCTAATTCGCTTCGTTACCAAATCTGACAACTTTAATATAACAGTACTGGAAGTTGGGTTTGCCGAAAATCGGTTTTTGCTCCCTTTGGCATAAAACTGCGCGGGTAATGTGAAATAAATAGAGAGGCATTCTGAGAGCTAAGCTTTCGCAAGGCTTGGAGGTTTACATGGGTCCTGAAGGAAACTAGATTAGACTTTGCAGAAGTTTGGAAGAATTATCTGAAATAAGTACTCATGTTAGTATACATTTGTCTTCCATAATGATTTTTTGAAGAGCAGAGCGAAATGAGTAGTGCACTAAATCCCGCCGCACGACATTTAAGGACATTTTCAAACAATCAGTATTTACGACTGATGTTTAATGCTTGTTGTTCAGTCGAAGGGGTCCTTAATCATTGATCGCTTTTATAGCCACCCCTTGGATTCTTTCATGAAATAAAATGATCGTACATCGTAATTTATGACATGACAAAATCTGCAAGTAAACGCTTAAGTAAAGCTGTTTTAGATAATCTTGCTTTTTCTCATTAGTTGTTCAATCTTCTTGGTCTATTCCCAACAATGTTTTTCTCTCCCATTTTTGACTTGATTCGACATTTATTTTCACAGTTCTGGCTCATGGACGCAAATTAAGCTTCATTGTTTCAAGAGTAAGGAAGGCCCAAGATATGCATAAGCTTGCCATAAATATGCTTGTTGTCAGATTAAGTGTAGAGCATTTTGGTTAGGACTTCGTTTTAACTAATAGCGGTTTTTTCATAAAAAGAGTAGAAACAACGTGTGAAATGTCATTTCTACATGAATGATACACAGGCGCAAAATAAAATCTTTTCAGATTAAATGTTAATTTTCTAGAATTCACTAATGTTTGATTGTCCTTAATTATTAGATGTATAAGGAATGGATCTTACACTTGTTCATAGCGGTGCAATAGATAAGAAGTCATAAGACAGCATTCGCTGAGCTATCTCAGCAACATACTTTTGTCGCTCCATAGCTCCCACTTCATTTTCTGGACATTTATTACGAAAAACCAGAAATGTGGTCAAATTCGTGG